GGCCGCCCTCGCTCGCCCAGGCGAGGGCGAACCTCGCCCGACGCCGGCGAGGGCCGCCCTCGCTCGACGCCGGCGAGGGCCCCCCTCGCCGGAAAGGAAAGAAAAAGAAAAAAAAAAGAAAAAGCAAAAAAGACGAAAATGCCCATGGACTAAATACATTGGGGTAAATGTGTCACAAAAAGCAAAGTTCGGGGTTTTTAGTGTCACAAAAAAAGGTTCGGGGTAAATGTGTCACGGATGACAAAGTTTGGGGTTTTTGGTGGTTTTTTCCCTTTTTTTTATTATGTGATTTGACTTTGCCTTCCATCCCAATCTGAAGATTATTTTATCTAATGTTTTTTGAAGTAAGATGGAGATGAACGACTAAAGTATTTGTAAGGTAAGGATAATAAATTTATAACCGAAAAAAAAAATTATAATCCAGTGACACAAGCGCATAACCGTTACATAAAGGTCACAAAATACCCTACAAGTCCATAAATTGATTAAAGTCATAAAATTTGACTTATATAGGCGACTCTGACCTAAGATTTGAACATATGACCTTCAATTCATAAATTAAAAAATTGCTCTTGCCCTAATCTCCTACATCAACCCTGCAAGTTGAAAAGAAGGACTTTTATTATGGGTTCTAGAATTGGGATTCCACTCTCCTTTCTTATTTTCCCTGATATTTAACTTGAATACTTCTTCTCTGGGTTTGTCACTAAGAAAATCTTGTTCATCAAACACTTGCGTATGAAGTGGGCATGTGACAATTGCTGGACAAGGTCTCTTATCGAAAAATTGATATGATTTGGAACAATCAGTATCTTAGTTAAGCCAAAACTCATTAGCTTAATCATTTGAAGTGAAAGTAAGTTTAGCTAAATATGTATAATGTGCTCGGACATGAACTCTCTCTTGGTGATCTCAAGGAATTAATCTTGTGATGTACTTTAATTCAATGGAGAAACTTTAGGACACTCTTGGGAAAATGCATAAGGTTCCATAGTTAATCGAGCAGCTCTGGAAGCATGTATAGAAGCTCGTAATACAAAAGGAAAATCAACATTCTATACCCTTTCTAGCTTTTCATTTCGAACAGCAATTGGACATTCCCTCGGCCTCTGCAACCAGTCAAAGTGCCATTGCCCATAAATGAAGAACCTAGTCCCTCAATCATATTTGCACATTCCCTCCCTCTTTTCGTGGTCTGCCATTGCAAATGGACTCCGGTCGACAGCATCTATTTCCAAGCATAGTTTTGCTACCCGGCTAGCTGAAAATAACCACCTTTTAACAAACAGAAGACCATAATGAGGAAGTTGATTTGATTTTTGCTTTTTGGCCAAGAGAAAGTTGTAGATTAGCATCGACAGTACCACTGCTCAGAGTCATGTCGTGGATCTCATTTTCCTTTGGCCTGCGATATTTCTAATGGAGTTCTGGCCTTACGGGAAGCTGAGGGGGGTGTGGGGGCGCGGTAGAGGTATGTGTTTCTTCCTTTCCATAGATTGAATGTTTGACATGTTTTAATCACATTTTTCATGTTGGCCGAATTCAGAAATTTGCCGCTCTTGGGGTTTTCGCAAGTCGGACCACTGTTTACGAAAGTCATCTCCTTTTGGTCAAAGTCCTGTCTATCCTCGGCTTGAAATGTGGACTTCAAAGAAGGACATTTCGTCAGTTACACAGAAAGGTGTTCGACCAAACCACTTGGAGGCAATGGGCTTGAGAGAGACAGAGAGAGACAGAGAGAGAGAGAGAAGGGAGGGAGAATCCTCATGAGTTTTTTATTATGTGATTTGACTTTGCCTTCCATACCAATATGAACATTATTTCACCTAATGCTTTTTGAAGTAAGATGGATATTAAAGACTTAAGTATATGTAAACGAAAAAAAAAATCGTGTTTTTTATAATCCAGTGGCACTAGCGCAGGACCTGCTACATAAAGGTCACAATACCCTATAAGTCCATAAACTAGTTAAGTCCTAGAATATGATTTATACAAATGACCATAACTTAACATAATTGCACATAATTGGTGAGATTTGAATAGGTGACCTTCAGTTCGTAAACTAAAAAAGTTTCTTGCACCCTAATCAAGTACACCAATCTTGAAAGTTGAAAAGAAGGACTTTCATTTAATACGGGTTCTAGAATTGGGATTCCACTCTCCTTTCTCATTTTCCGTAATATTTAACTTGAATAGCTTCGTCTCATGGGCTCTATCACTAAGAAAATCTTGTTCGTCAAAGACCCACATATATTAATGAGGTGTGTTGAAGAAAACACAGCCTTCTCTCTCTTCTAGAATTCTCTTCATATTTCTTAGTCGCACATCTATATTTGTCCAAAGGAAAATCAACATAAGGCCTCCACGCCACCTCCAGCCTTCTCTAAAATACTCCATCCAGTTGCCGCAAAATAATAGTAGATATTTGTATTAGAAGAATGTGGAAGGCTAGAAAGTCGATTGAAGCACCGACTTTGGTAGCCTCTATAAAGGGGCAAGTGCTCCATGTTTCGGGTGTGAAGTAGAAAGGACTTCACCATGGGTGTGTGTTGAGTGTTGTTCTTGTCATAATAAGAGAATGTTTATTATAGTCACACTTCCGAAACTCTACAAGGTGGACATGTAAAATTGATATGATTTGGAACAATTAGTATCTTAGTTGAACCAAAACTCATTGGCTTAATCATTTGAAGTGAAAATGAGTTTAGCTAGGTATACCAATGAGCTCGGACATGAGTTGTCTCTTGGTGATTTCAAGGAAGGAATCTCACAATGTACTATAATCTAGTGGAGGAACTCTAGGACACTCTTGGGAAATGCACAAGGTTCTATAGCTAATCGAGTAGCTCTGGAAGCATGCATACAAACTCATAATACAAAAGAAAATCAACATTCGATACCCCTTCTAGCATTCCATTTTCAAACAGCAATTACACATTTCCTCGGCCTCTGCAACCAGTCGGAGTGCCATTGCCCATATATGAAGAATTTAGTCCCTCAATCAAATTCGCACATAAATTTTCGGAGCCGAGGGACGTGATCTTGCTTATGGTGGTGAAATTATGTTGAGACTAGCACATAGAGTCCTGACTAGTTGTTACTTGGGAAGTATGGAAGCAGATCAAATTTAAATTTGAATAGATGGACACTTTTTGATCGGACAATCACCGTTTGTTCTCGTAATAGAATTGCAATGGAAGTCAACCAAATCTTTTACAAGAAGGATTCAGCAGAATACAGAGATTCAACCCAATTGCCGGGTAGAGAACATTGTCATCAAACCGTTCGGACTATCTCCACTAAACCATGGGTCAAGACGAGAATGGGGGTATAGCAAACCGTTCCCAAGTTGACGATATGATGGTCCTAAACTAGCAAAACTCGCTTGGGGGATATCCTCGTGAAGGCAATGATGAAGTTATAAGAACCTCCTAATCATTTGAATCCTCGTTGTTTAGTATATACCCATTTGTACATTTGAATCCATGTTTGCATGTGCAAAAAAGACATTGCTAATAACTTTCGTTTTATTAATAAATTAGTTTTTTTTTTCATTTTCAATTCTAGTTTTATCGGTAGATTGGAGAAGAATTAGAGATGGCAGATCTTCTCCTATATCTCGTTTCTATCTATCAACAAGGATCCCCAATGCCTCTAGTTGATATGTTATTGAATATAATCAGGAACGGATCTAGAAAGTTGGATTCTGCTCGTTTGTAGGGGACAATTAGTAAGGTAATTCCTTTTTGGAGATTAAGGAATAGCTAGCTCATTAAGTTACAATGAATTTAATCCGATCCGTCATAGGTGTTAGAATATGACGTGTCAGATTGGAACCAATGTACAAAGTGAGTAGTGATGTTCTATAGATTAACTGTACATTTGTCTAGACTTAACACACTCTATAAAAAGAATTTTACAACATCGAAGGAGAAAGAGCAAGGATGATAAACTAGCTAGTTGAAGATCAGGTTGGGTAATTCTTGGATGATTGAGCAGCCTTCTCAATGATTGAAAATATCTTGGATGCTCCAGATGTATGCACGTAGCCAACTAACATGCACCATTAGATGTTGGTCCTCATGTAGGATCCAATTGATATGATGGTGGGTATGAATTGCGCTCACATGCATATGCAACGAGAGTTTGTAAGACCAGCTCTTGTAGGGTAGTCAGTCCAAATGCATTTACAAAGCCAACTAATGTACTATCTCTACTTGATGAGATGGTGGGTGTGAGTTGAGCTCCCATGCATCGGGAGCATGTGTGACTTGCTCGTGCTAGTTGGTAAATACAAATATAATTAGCATATAAAGTACCCATTACGTAATTTCGTCCATGAACATATCGGTCCTTGGCAAAAAACAAGAGTCGCTCATAAATTAAAAAGAATTTTTTCACACTAGCGATTCAACAAAGTAATTGTATGAACGCGGTTTACACTCGCAATCCCTAGTTTTAACAAGTGAGTCCTTCAGCCAACTAATTCTGAGACTGATTGTCATAAACAAAATTTGGATACTGACAACGTAAAATTACAAAGGAACCGAAAGGAAAAAGAATTTTCATATTGAGCAAAGAGTTATTTAGGAAAACAATTTTGTGGTATCGTCCTTGAAATCTGAAATATCTCGCAAAACATTATATCAACCGTAAGAAAAACGATAATTGACCCAGAATCCCAGAGAGGAGCAAAACATGCGTCAAATACTTAGAATGTCGGACTTTCTTGGCGAGAAAATCGTTTACTACGCAGAGGAAAAAGCGAAAACGAACTTTGTCAAGAATTTGGCAAAAACCCGTAACACAGTCATGTCAAATATTCAATTTGGACTAAGTGAACCTTCCGTGGGACTTTTTCACCCTGTAGCCTAACTATAATTATTGAGGACGATACTATCCTTAGCCTCCAGCCCTTTAAGGACTAGACTCGCTGAACAATGGAGGGGCAATTTGGGAAGTCCACGACCGTTACGATTACCTACCCAAGTTGGATACAAACACGTACCAAGACAGGCGAACATAGTTGCAGTCCTAACCCTACCAAAAACAACGACACTCATAGTTAAGACAGGTCCTTGTTCAACTGCGCATATCTGCTTCACCATGCACTATAAATGGGCAACGTATTTGTGGGGGTTAAGGTTACCAAGGCACGTTTGTCTCTGCATGCAAGCGGTCGCCCATACAAAATCTATGCTAAACAGTATATAAATAAAGGTATGTCCATATTGTTCCTATTGAAAAGATGGCCTTTTCTGTTTTCTTTTTCTTTTTCTCCTCTCTGGAGGTTACCTTCTAAAGAAACCGTTATCGGTTCTCTCTTTGTTTCCAATTCTGCAGAGGGCCAGCTCTTGATTGCGAGCCTACGTTAAAATTTGGATTTGCGGGTGATTCTTCCGTCGGCGGCGACTATGGAGGAGATCGGTTTCCGGAGGTGGTGGGGTTCGCTCCGGGGGTGGTTGGCCGCAGCAGTTCGCTTGCTCTTCTTGCTCTCGGCTTGTTCCACGGTGGCGACAGTAAGGTATTTTCCTTGTGGCGTACGTTTTCGTTTTGCATGCATGAGAGAGAGAGAATGAATTTATAAGCGATCTACGGTTACTGACTTTTCAATGATTTTATTTGGGCGAATTTATGATCATTGATCGTTAAAATACTGTTAATCAACAGAACGCAGTGAATCAATCTTGTATTCTCCATTCAACGTTTCAAGGTATTGTTTAGTGGAAGACCATTTGACTGTCCTTCAATTGTAATCAAGATTAGTGCACTTAATTGCGATGTTTAATAACAGAGCTTAAAAGCATTTTAAACCACATTAAATGGTATGGTCAGTTTGGTCAGCCATAAAGCCCAGGCTGCTCAGATTGCGAAAGAAACGTTTCAGCTCAGTTCACCATCATTTGCAAGGATGACAATGAAAACCTACTCTGTCTATGAGAGAGAAAGAAGGGGACGGAGATAAGACGAAATCTCAGTCCTAACATTACAAAAAATTTCATACTATACCCGTTGTGACATATTTACTCTGAACTTTTTTTGTGACATCAAACACCCCAAAATATGTCCACTGTGATACATTTGTCCTAAACTTTTTATTGTGAAATAAAAAACCCCAAACTTGTACATATGCGACACATTTACTCTCCGTCAAGGGTCCGTCAGAAGACTTTTTGACCAAAGCAACGTCGTTTTTATTTTACTTAAACCACGATAAGGTCATGCCAACACTGTTTGCTCTTTGACGTCCATATAGACAGATTTTTTACGGTTTTTATTGATGAAACTTTGAAAGAGGGCAAATGTGTCGCATAGGTACAAATTTAGTATTTTTTGTGTCACGGAAAAAATTTTAGATTTAATATGTCACGACGCGCATAGTTTAGGGTTTTGGTGGCTTTTGCCCCATTTCTTATTTTTATTCGGGATTGGCCTATGATCATCGTCAGAAAATACTGATTAAGAGCACCAAACTTTGACATTAACACGCACGTCAGAATCAAAAACACTTACTGCTTCAACTGCTGCACGTAGGTTTCTTCGTCTTCGACCAACTGCTTCTCGTTGTGTCAAAGACCTCATCGAAGACAGAACCCCTTCTAGGGTTTTGTTTATTGATTTCGTTATCGTTAGTCAACGGGGGAGATGATGTTTGGTTGACGACTCTCTTATATTTTGACGAAAGAGCGAACAATATATAATGATAATAATAATAATAATAATAATAATAATAACAATAATAATAATAATTAAACGAAAGACGGAATGTAGTAGGTTGAAAAACAATTAATTTTCTCCTTATTATTATTACAGAGAAGTTCGAGCGAACCCATACCCTGCGGTCCAGCTGCAAGTGCAAAATAATCAGGTGATTCTACAGCCCCGCTCGTCATCAATTATGTATGTAGGTCCATAAGTAATATATAATATAAATATATATATACTTCCCGAAAATGGAAATTATTCTCGACGTAGAAAAAAAATAGATAGTCAAGATTATTCTCAATGTCGTTTAATCATATCAAAATGATATCGTGGTCGATACCTTGGATTTATAGGTATGTGATCTCCAATCCTCGACATTAATCAAAAGGTTTAGGAGCGGGGAAATACTAAAATTGAATTTATTGAGCCTCTACTAACAATTTGTTCATTGAATAATAAATTTACTGAGTAATTTTCAGGTGCTGATGGACAATGGGATTGTGGAGGTTACATTCTCAAATCCAGAAGGGGAGGTCACGGGCATCAAGTTCAACGGGATCGATAACCTCCTTGAGCCTCGCAATAGTGAAACCAATAGAGGGTACGTATCAACTATTAATATGCACTTTCACTTCCTTAAATTAAGTCTTCTTTTTTATCATAAAGAAAACATCAACAATTTGCATTTTACAAAATTCAAATGCCATGCAAACAATCTTCTACAATTAAGAAGTCCTAGCAAGGCGTAGTAGCAAAAATGAAAAAAAAAATAAAGTAAGAAAACAAGAATTTCGCTCATACAATTACAAAAATAAAAATAAAAATCACAACGAAATGCTATTTATTCTGTCAATTCGATGAGACCAAGGCGTCGTGACAACGCCTTTTAAAGTCTTTGGTGGTCCTTACGGTCATTGTCTCTGTCGTTGCTATTGTCGATTACCACATTTTATCATTGTTGTCGGAATGTTGTAGAGGTTTTATTTTGCTCATCATGTTTCTGGGAAAAGCTACTTTTTATGTGATCTATATACATAGATATAATAGAGTCAATTTTACGTTGATCTTACTTCTTATTAATTTGGATGTTGCGAAATAGATGCAATAGCTGTAACTACGTTAAGAATTTTGAAAAAAGAAAAGTTCTCTTAATCTCTTAAGAATATCCTCTCATTCTTGCTGGTCAATTCCAGTTAAATATTGTCATCTTGGGAAACTTCTCAGATCTTCATTTGAAAAAAGAAAAGAAAAGAAAAGACCGACTTCATTAGAACTTAATGCAGTCAATGTGCGAAAGTCACTCTTATTATAAGAAATTAAATTGTTATTAAAAAGCATATTCTAATTGGCAAAAAAAAAAAGATTCACGACTTTTATAATTTATGAAATATTATTTTACTCGAATTACTTACAAGTCAACATCATCTGGAAGCTGTATTCCTCGCACGTATCTATTTTCCACGACGATGTATCCCAATTTAAGAAATGCAAATTTGAGCCAATCACTCCGCGAGAACCCCGGTCGTCGGTAAAAACAGTTGGGCGTATGCGTATATGCACTGAACATTCGTCCTTGAAAGTCCCGACCCAAGTCTATTCCCGATTTGGACCAAATGCTGTTCTTGAGAAGTTGTCGCCAATGATTTGTCTTTTGAACCGACTTAAACTCGACCGCAGTAATTGACCCAAAGAATGGACAAATTTCCATGGAGCTTCGATTTTTAATTCGCCTAGATCATCATAATAATTGGAAACATTACATTCTCCTCTATAGTCTTTGAGAACATCAGCATTGATCATGGATACATTAGGTTATATATATTTTCCCTTTTGGTCAATTTTTTTGTGGAAATTATGTTGACTTTTTTGTGGTCATTTTTCCATCTGGGTTATATAGTTTTCCTTATTTTTATGATCATTTTTGGACCATACTTTAGTTTCTTTGTTGCTTGACCGAAAAAAAGGAAACGAATTCGACATATTACTTGTGGCCTCAAAAGGTCTTTATTGTCGCATGACGAGTCCTTGCCGATGTTAATTTTAGGTACTGGGACATTGTGTGGAACCGGCCAGGGGAAGCCAGCATGTTTACGAGGTAAGACTCAAGTTACTTTCAAAGCAGCTCTTTATTGCTAGTAGAATCTTATAGCTCAACACACTAAAATCAAAATTAGGGCACAAAAGAACATATTAGGTCGATCCGTGCTAGCGTCGATCTCGGTCCAAAAACTACGTGGGTGTTTCTATTTCCGAGGAGAAAAAATGTGGACGACACGTGAAAATTAGGGTAAAAAAAACATATTAGGTTGACTAGTTCGGTTGATAACGAGGTAGCCAAAACCAATGCCAGTTTGGAAATGGTACAAATGTATTAAACTAAGCTTGTACGATAACATCCTGTGAAATGATACTTACAAGTTTTTGAATGTTTTGATAGGATTGAGGGAACTGCGTTCGACGTGGTAGCGAACACCGACGACGTGGTCGAGGTGTCATTCGTCAGCCGATGGAGCAATTCTTCAGAGTCGTACTTGGCCCCGCTCATCGTCGACAAGAGGTTAGTGAAGCATGGTTTTGCTCATTTAACTGGTAAAAAAAGATTAATTGATCTGGTTTTGAATCGTGATTAATAGTCGATTGCTCTTGTAATTGGGGGCAGATTTGTAGTGAGACGTGGGAGTTCAGGGTTCTATGGGTACGCGATATTTGAGCACCCAAAGGGATGGCCTGACTTGGACGTCGGAGAAGCCCGGATTGCTTTCAAGCTCAATGGACAAAAGTAACGACCCCGAAAACATCATCTTATTACGTTTCTCATATATAAAGACGATATCACATCAATATGTTACGTAATGCTTTACATTGTCGGTTTACATTAGAAAAGCTTTACATGTTCCTTTCATTGTCGGTTTCATCATTTTTATTTAATTGGGATTGGAGCATTGCACGTGGTTGTTGATCGGCGATTATTGTGCCGTCGCTCTCTATTAGGTTTCATTATATGGCTATATCGGATGAGAGGCAAAGGGTTATGCCGACAGCAGAAGATCGGACGAGTGGTCGCATACTAGACTACCAGGAAGCTGTACTCTTGACTAATCCTTCCAATTCCGAGCTCGAAGGCGAGGTAAACTCGAACTATGTCAGTTTCGTTTATCCCCACGACGACATGCAATCTATCCAATACATAAGATACTTTCTCTCGCGGTTCAAATGCATATGTTATGTATGAGTGCTTCACTACTTGGAACATCTTTTTGAGTGTGCTTATGATCCTACGCCGGTGGGCGGATTGCAGGTGGACGATAAGTACCAGTACTCATGCGAGAACCAGGAGAACAAGGTGCACGGATGGATCAGCAGCGATCCGCCGGTGGGATTCTGGATGATCACACCCGGTCACGAGTCTCACTCCGCCGGGCCTGTCAAGCAAGACCTCACTTCCCATGTCGGACCAACCACACTCAACGTAAGCGACCATCCTCTTCTTTCCCTCACCCAAAATAAGTTCCGAACCACATGGACATGGGCTCCCGGCCCGGCCCATCGGGACTTCCGTTACGGGTCGGGCTCACCTGACTCTCGGAGCTAAGAATCGGGGGATGGATTTGGACCGAGTGCGCTGACCGTTGTTCATACCGAAGACTTGGTTCAATGAAAGAGTAACCTAGGTTTTTACCGAAATTTGTACGCAGAATTGCATACTAAGTGATGCATCGGATTGCTGATGGACTTCGAAAGATATCGATTGTGTTCGGTGCCCGTTAAAAATCTATCGAATTGTCCTAACACGAATGTATTTATGATTGCTTAAACTGTGAAGATGAGCCAGTGTTGATCTTTCTGCAGGTGTTTTATAGCAACCACTATGCGGGGAAGGACGTGTACTTGAGTTTCCGGAATGGAGAGGAGTGGAAGAAGGTCTACGGACCCTTCATGGTCTACTTCAACTCGGTGTCGCCTGAGGAAGACCAATCAAGGCTTTGGGCGGACGCAAAGGGGCAGGTATTACTTTTTTGCTTACTTAAAATCTTGGTAGCTTCTAATGAATGACCAAGTTTTTCATGTTACTTTCATTAAACGTGTTAATTACTTTTGATGTATGCGATTAGATGTTGCTGGAAACTGCAAGTTGGCCCTATGACTTCATCCATTCGGATGATTACCCTTCCGCCAACGAACGTGGATCCGTCGGCGGTCAACTATCTGTTCGGGATAGGTTCGATTCCCTTATCACTCTGTACCTATGTTTCGCATTAGAACTACCTTCGATTAGGGAAAAAAGTATTCGATAAACTTGGACCGCGATGCTATATTTTCTTCACATGAGCTCGCAGAATGATTAAATTTGAATATCACATTTCTTTTCTTTGTTGCTTAATCTGTTTCTAAGTTTAAAAATCTCCTTCCATTTGAAGCATCTAAGCAGTTAAAATCTCTTAATCCAGATACAAGAAAAATAGTGACATGGTGGCGGACACGGCATACGTAGGGTTGGCAGCACCGGGAGAGGTTGGTTCGTGGCAAACAGACACGAAGGTATTCCTTTTTTATCTCTCAATCAACAGCCACAAATTTACCAAACGTGTGCGGTTAATTTTGTGGTCAATGAGCATCCGATGATTCTATATATCATTCCTCTCAATTCTCAGGGTTATCAGTTCTGGACTCGAGCAGACGAGAACGGATCTTTCAAAATTAGGAATGTCCGGCCCGGCGTTTACGGCTTGTATGCATGGGTTCCCGGTTTCATCGGGGACTACAGATACCATCTAAATGTCACAGTCAAGCCAGGTAACTATTACCCTATCACGACGTTTGAATAGTGCAATTTCTAGGTTTTCGAGCCGGCTTTTATTTGAGGAATGTTGGGCATACCAAGATTGACCTGCAAAATTAGCATACTGACTAATGTGACGGACTGTAAGTAGAGCGGTTAAGTAAGTGGGGTCACCTGCAATACCCAATAACAGTTTGCCACATTCACTAATTTAGGTTATTAAATACACAGTCTTTGCTACTAATCATGATCTTGCCATCGCATTTTATTGTTGAGGAGAACTAGAAACTCTATCTAATTATGTTTAATTTAATTGCCTGTCCAAAAGATCTTTGAAATTTTATGGTTTCATGAAATGGTAATGTCAAAATTATTCATGCGCAGGATCTGAAGTCGAATTGGGTGCTCTGGTTTTCAGCCCTCCAAGATCTGGTCCCACGTTGTGGGAAATTGGCATCCCCGATCGAACGGCAGCTGAATTCTACGTGCCCCTACCAAATCCATGGTTAATGAATAAAGTGTTCAAAAACAACACCGAAGAGAGGTGAACCTTATTGCTATACCTTTTGATCTTTCTATAACTCACGGATACGATCGTAATCAGTCATATACCTTAAGGAAAATTAGCACAGCATCCCATCATCATGGCCCTCACCTGAATCTGAGTTACCTGGGATAGGAATAGAACCCACAATCATCGGCTCCTGAGCTGAAAGCTTGAGAACACCCTTATCGCTAGGTTAATCCCAGGGTGCGTCTTGTTGTTATGGCATTATTAGCTCAAATGCATCATATTGAGCAGCTGGATTTTTATTTTATTTTTTTGAGTCATTCTCGCATGATCCTAGTGCCCAATTCACATGCACGGTTGGATATGTGAGATCCACGTCATTCAACGATAAACATCGAAATCATAAAAGAGCTTTTCTATTTCTGGGGCGTCATAATAAGCAGATTCATCACTTTATTGTGTTCCGATTTGTATCCCGACCATTCAATATTTATCTAGATTGACTTTGACTTTCAAGAGATAAGTAGCATTTACATGATCTCGTATTATCACACGGATTAATATACAATTGGAAGTTTGTGGCCTTTTATCCCTAACAAGTAGCTAGAGATTAGTAGTGATGCATCTTTTTTATTATAGAAAAAGGCTGATATATAAAATTAATGTAGCAAGTGATGTAATAAATTGTGAGCGCTTTTAAACATATTGACAATATTCAATACCCAACAACAGCCGGTGACGAAACTTAGTATAGCAATTTTGTTAATTGGTCTGAGTAAACTTAGAATTTCTTCTTTTATTTACTAGATTCTGTAGCTACTTATCAAATGCTTTTCTTTCTTTTCTTTTCTTTTCTTTTCTTTTGACAGGTTCCGACAGTACGGACTATGGGAACGATATTCGGAATTATACCCTGAAAACGATCTCGTCTACACTGTTGGCGTCGACAACTACCGCATAGACTGGTTTTTCGCTCATGTCACCCGGTACTCTTATTCTCTCTCTCTCTCTCTCTCTCTCTCTCTCTCTCTCTCTCTCTCTCTCTCTCTCTCTCTCTCTCTCTCTCTCTCTCTCTCTCTCTCTCTCTCTCTCTCTCTCTCTCTCTCTCTCTCTCTCTCTCTCTCTCTCTCTCTCTCTCTCTCTCTCTCTCTCTCTCTCTCTCTCTCTCTCAAATATAATATACATATATGTCGCTTGAGACGATTTCCTATATATAATATACATATATCTTTATATATAATATATATTATATCTGATTTTTGTTAAATACAGGAACATAGGGAATTCAACATACGTGCCAACAACATGGAGGATTGACTTTAATCTTCACAATGTGAACTTTAGAGGGACCTACAGACTTCAAATGGCAGTAGCATCGGCGACCCAGTCTCATATATCGGTATGAAGCAACATACCCGCCAAACTCCGCATATAGCATCATCAGTCATCTATATCAATTATGTTACACCTAATCAATTTCCATAATGTTGTCCTTTATTTGAACTTTTTGAAGATCCGGGTCAACGGCCCGAGCGGGCAACCACTCTCGTCGACGGGCCGTTTCGGCTATGACAACGCCATCGCGAGGCACGGGATCCATGGTCTGTACTGGACGTTCAGCTTCGACGTGCCGGGCTCTCACCTACGCCGGGGAGCCAACTCCGTCTATCTCGCTCAGTCTTCATCGGCCAGGACGCCCTTTGAAGGCGTGATGTACGACTACATTCGTTTCGAAGGCCCTCCAAGAACTTAATTGAACTTCTTCAATTGTATAGAGTTCACGCACATAGCCTTTTTTATCAAAATTCATGCTATTTTTCACAAGGTTAGATTAGATGTAAGGCGTTTTAAGATTCTTTTTCGGCGATGAGTCGATGATGATCTTATTCAAGAAGGGTTGAGGTTCGATTATACAGAAAGTGATTGTTTGTTACATTTGATACTTCAGTTGAATTGATTTATACTACTCATTTTTCAAGTGATGTTCTCTCTCTCGATCTCTCTCTCTCGAATTGCGCTCACATGTTCGACGTTTTCGTTTAGTGCTTACATTCGTTAGCTAGTGCACAGATATTTCTATTTCAAGAATTTTGCGTGAAATTGTGTTTACACAAAGGGTTGTAAATAAGGCGAATAAGTGAAGCAAGAATCATAAAACATGCTATAAAAATGTAATCGAGTTCTAAAACTTTCATATTTATGCAATCAAGTCCAAAGCTTGTCAAATTGATACAATCGATTACCTCCGGTAACTCCGTCTTATTTGAATAACACAAAATGTTGATATGATAATGGTTAATGTTTTTAAAAAAGAGATGCGTTGATGTGACCACTGCATCGGCCATTTTAGGCAAACATGACAATTGCAACAAATTATAGACGTGATATTTGGAACTTGAAGAGAGAGAGAGAGAAATCAAATGTGAGGAGGAATTTGAATGGTGGAAACAGGTAAATTAGTCGTCGACCGGCGACGTGGGATTCATATCATGAAAATAGGGGAAGCAAAGTCCGCCGCTGACACGAAATAGAGAAGAAACAGAGGATTTGCGAAATCTGTAAAAAGTGTAGTACTTTCTGATAGAGACCATGTATGTATAAGGCTCTATTTATATTACAATGTATGGACACAATAAAGGAAAAGATATACAGAAGATATTTTCATAATTATGCATGATTTAATTCCCAACTAAATTGATTTACTCAATCACTCCAATAAAGGAACCGTATCTTCCAACAAACCATATCTTCAACACTCCCCCTCAAGCTAGTGGCTTATATATATGTCGAAAACGCCAAGCTTGCTTAATAGATAATTGTCTTTAACATAGAGGTTTGGTGAAGATATCCACAGGCTATTATGTATTTCCTATCCCTCTTGTATTTGATTCTTTAATAGATTATTGGATTTGCCGCAAGTTTGAGAGTAGCATCATTATCGCAAAATAAGGCAGTCGGTCCTTTTATCTATACACCAAGATCTTGAAGCAAGCCTCATATCCAAACTATTTCACAAATGGTCTAAGCCAAGGCTCGATATTCAGATTCAGCCAATGACAATGAAATAGTTGATTGTCTTTTTATTTTCCATGAAAGCAACGATTCTCCTAGTTTAACACAAATTCACTAATAGATGTTCTACTCATGGGACAAGTGACATAATCTGTGTCACAGTTAGTTGTCATCTCCATGTTACAATCTCGAGATAGAAGAATCCCCGGTCCTAGACATCCTTTCAGTAAGTCGGCGATTCTTGATCTTTTTATAAGGTGACAAGCGAGGCATGTTTTGGAGACCTTACGTTGTTCAGGTTTGATATAACTGGTTAAAACATGGGGGTTCACGAGGTCAAGAGGGTCATCCTTCGGCAAGCATAAGGGTGTTTTAGCAGTCTTTGCAGAGATGAAGCCAAGTGCGCCAACACGACTTCTTGCATTTGAGTAGGTGTTGCAGGTTAAGATAATTGACAAACAAGGTTTCTTGTAACAAAAATATTAGGTCTAGGTTTCATTTTCCATGAAAGGATCGACAATTTTTTGTTGAATGGGCAAGAAGAATAATGGCGTTAAAGTAATATGACACAAAGAAAACTTTTGAAAAGACTTTCTGAAAAGAGCCTGTCAAAAGATTCGGGGAGAACGCATATGATAACAGACCGCGATAAATTTGCATATTTGGGCTTTAACTACCACTTAATTATAGTTTTAAGTCTAATTTTTATGTATTTGATTCTATTCTTTTCAATTGCAGAGCCCTATTTTCATTTAATTTGCACAATGTCGTCTTTCGATCCTTGGCGTTACTTTCTCTATCGAGATTTTGACATGGCGTTCCCCCGCATAGTGCAAATGTGGCTATTCATGTAGTTTTGGGAGAATGTTACTTAAAAACTCCTCCGAACTTTGTGGGTAGTATATATTTGCCTCTAAACTTTCAATTGTCATACACTAACTTTTCGTTACTTAAAAACTCCTCAGAACTGATCCTCTATTATATTTTTCGTTAGTATGTACCAAAGCAAATTATTTTCAAGGAGTAAAGGTGTATTTCCATCTCATCTTTTGAAGGAAATGTCTCTTTTACCCCTTTATTTCTTAAGAAAAATATGAGAAGGTTGTTTTCATCTTAATTCTAGAAGAGGTTGCTCGAGGGTGCTAGAGACTTGCTTCTCATATGCACTTGTTGCTGAACATTGGAGCAGCTATAACTTATTCTAGATCCATGCTCTCTTTGATAGTGGATGCAAGAAGGAAAATAAAGAGAGAAAGGAATGAATGCGATGCAATTTCAAAACCATCATATGTATAAGAATGCAAAAGCAGCCTGACTACAAGATGAACCGATTTGCTACCACGCAAGTTCATTCAATGTCTAGCCTGCAGTGCAATGATCCCATACTAAAACTTTTGAATGTTCCCAACTATACAGGATAGAGAGAGCTAGTGTTAGAACAGCATAAGAAAAGTCATTGATACCAGTAAAGGGATGTTCTGCAGGGAAATGAGTAAATGTAGTAACCCAACATATCGAAAGTTGTAGTATTGGCATCCCTACATAAAGGGATTGGGGAAGAATTTGTCTATGACACTTGAAGAGGGAAAAGAAAGGTAAGAGACAGTCAATTGGGAGCTTTTAAGTGGTGAAGAAGATCACTGTTGCATTGCCTCAGAGAGAGAGAGAGAGAGAGAGAGAGAGAGAGAGAGAGATAGGAGACAGCAAGTACAATAAAAATTTAAACATGGAGCCTTTCTGTTCCAACCAACAGATATAATTCAAAAAAAAAAAATACTCGAGTCACAAGTTAGTACACGGAGGGAAGACACCAATAACCTAGCTTTTGAACAAAGTTTCTTCCTTCGACCAAAAAAAACAACAAAGTTTCTTCCGAAAGCATCATCAGTCCCTAAACATAAATCTAGGCTGAAAATAGACAAGTCACAAAAAATTACAGCAATGGAACAGATGAAGCTACATGAAACCAGAAACTCCAATCAAATCGAAAGAATTGGATGACAACAAACAATACCTTCGGGCAGTCAACAGTAAGTCTAATGACAATCCAACGAAAGCGGGGTAGTCATTAGTGGGTTGGCAGAGGTTGCATTCAAAATGTGCTGCTGCTTTGACTAGCTGAAATAGAGGGGGCTTCGGATTTTACTATTTGAGAGCCTTTGTTATGTATATCCAATCCTTGGAATCGACCGAGAGAATCTTGCTGCATCATTTCAGAAATGGCATTAGAATGGGCTGCAGCAACAAGAAGTTGATGAGCCATATTCGACTGAAACATATGGAACTGCGGCACCTGCAAGTTCTGGGGATCGATGTGGCCAGATTGTGGCTGGTGTGGGAAGTAGGAAGGTTTGGCGTCTGGAATGTGGTGCAGCCCCAGATTGTAGGCATCTGATGGGGTGATTGCAGGTGTAAACAAGCAGGTGTATGTCCGATGAGTCGCATGACACCAAGCGATGCCGCTGAGGCAAGATGTAGCTCTCTTGCTCAGGCGAGAATGGACGCTAGAATTTCTAATCGAACTGATGAAACCATCGTTATAAGATCTGAATACATTCTAACCTGGCCCACATGCGTGTCTACATAGTCGGATTGCGACATTGGAGACGCCACAACTTGCAGTTGCAAAGCCCATTTGAGTATTGTTTTGAGGTCACAATGTCACCTTCATTCCACTTTGGGAGCCATATGTGCTCATCAAGATCTGGCGTGCTTAGGCGAGATCTTGCTCCAAACTAACGGGTCTCCAAGGCCTTGAGCTCATGAGGGTTGCCACCCGCCGTGAGCTCAAGGGTCACAACGAGGCCATGCATAGCTGTTAGTGGTCTACCCTAGGAATCAATCAAGGTTGATACTCTAATATTAGTTGTGGATTAGGTTGTGTCGGAAAATCGACATTCACTATACTTAGGTAGTCATAATGTCTTGTTAGAGACCGCTTATGACTTGTAGGCCAAAAAGGGCTTTGAGCACACTGCTAATGTTTAGTGAACCTACAGGATCGCACACAATAGCGAACTAAGTTAATATTTTCTATGCGCCGGGATCTACTTAAAATAAGAAGTAAATTTTAATTTATTCTCCTATTCAACTTATCTACATGGTCGTGCACGTTATGAGATAACGATTAAACGTACGATTGAAGGTGGACAGTTTGGTGGGCCCAAATCGCCCAGCCCCACTTCTTTTAATTTGCGTAGATTATATATATATAGCGTGTGGGTAACGAAAAACCTTAAGAGAAAAAAACGCCTCTAAGAGAATACGAAGAGAATCGTTCTCTGTTCAGAGATCTTTGAGAGAGTCTCGAAGATCAAAGGCGATTAGGAAAAAGAAGTCCAAGATCTTTAGCTAGCACTAGGATCGTTGGAGACTTCCGTTCGTGTGTGTGGATACCGGTAGAGGCGCAACAATTGGGGGGCTAATCCAGACACAATCGATTGTCAATTTACCTTCGATCTGCAAAAGGTACGTGTCGAACTTCTGTTTAGATTTCAATATACGCATGGATCCTGTCTAGGGTTTCGATTTATAGATTCCGCTGCGTTTTTAGCACTTGAGGAACCCCAACAATAGCATGGTTGGTCCAGGCCCAATAATTTTTTAAATTAAATTAAATTTGAATGAAAATTTTAGAAATTAAAAATAATTATTTATTTCCGAAGATTAAAAATAATACAAAGTTAATCGAGAAAAACAAGTTAAAGACACTCATTCAATTAAACACGCATTCCGACCCAAAAAAAAAAATTAAACACGGATGAAATACGAGTACATGTTCAAACAATTTAATAAAAAATTGTACGTACAAGTGCCCTAAAAATGATGACACACAACTTGCATCCAAGAGAATGTCTAATAAAGTTGGTGTCTCCGATGCCATCTCTTCCCACACCATGATTCGGATGATAAAATGACATTGTTGTGTTCTTGTTCACATTGGGCAAGCTCGGCCGAAATGAATTCTTGCATTAACCAGTTATGTCCGCAAACATCCATTTCGACATTTTTCATAGTCAAACTACACCTATTGTCGTTCTTGATTAGTTGGCTAGTACTAAACATGGACTCTGATGGTATTGTAAATGTCGGTGGGGAGCCATGGTGGAAACAATCCAAAAATTGGCGGCTCTCCTCTTCCACCCTTTTAGAACACCGATGTTGTCTTTGCCAACTCTTTCAATGTATTTGGTGTAGTTTGTTGCCTAGTATGCCTCCAACTCCTTGGTAGATGAAGACAAAGAGCTAGCGAAAGGCCATGGCGTATCCTCTTCTTATGAAATAAAGACCATACAAATTTCTAGGCATGTACTTGATGAGGGTGCCATTCCGGCCCATTGGGTGGAACTCATATCAAATCCACTAGCATGTGCAACATAATATATTGCGTGTTATGGTTAGTGCTATAACATAGAAGGGGCCGTGAATAGATTATATAATGAAACTCGATAACTTTTCTCGGAATAAACAGAATCAAGTTGATATACACAAGAGTAATTTAATATATGCAAGAATAAGCTGCAAATATCAAGTGCAATGCTTTTATCAAACAGTTAAGTTCATAAGCACATGGATAGAGATAGATGCACGCAAATCTTTATAGTAGTTCGGCTTAGATTAAGTCTATGTCCACTTTTCCAAACTAACAGCCGCTAACAGGCTGATTCCACTAGTAATTCTTGAGCAGATACAAGAGTAGCCTTCTTCTGCTTCTACCCAAAACTTGATAAATCACACCATCAATCTTAAGCACTAGTGCAACACTCATACTCTTCTCAAAAGAGATTACATTCAGTGTAAGCACTCTCTGTAACTCACTCATGGTATGTATCAAAATACAAAGATTTCTCTATTTTGTAGTTGTATCTTCTTTGATGTAGATTAATCTTCTTATATAGTTTTCAATCTCCAAACTAGCCGTTGGATAATCTTCAAGAGTATCAATTTAGCCGTTGAAGATAAGCAATCACATCACCGAATATCCGGTCGCCCATACAATCATATCTTTCAGTAATATTGTTGCTTCCATGAATAAAATTGTCATATTAGGAAATATTCATTGTCACCAAATGATTGACAATTAATTAGATTATTCCTCGAATAATCTTCTAGATTTCCAAACCTGTGACTAGCTGTTAAATCTTTTGACCTATAATAACGCTCAAAGGAGTATCTAGGTCTTCTTCTAGATCAAACAAACACGTTATAAACATGCTCTTTGCAAGCGATAGAAGCAGCTGCTTCTATTAGCAATTTGTGAGTATACTTGAAGTGATGGCTTTAAAAATAATGTATATGATTATGAAATCTAATCACGGGAGATCTAAAATTGTCATATTAGGAAATATTCATTGTCACCAAATGATTGACAATTAATTAGATTATTCCTCGAATAATCTTCTAGATTTCCAAACCTGTGACTAGCTGTTAAATCTTTTGACCTATAATAACGCTCAAAGGAGTATCTAGGTCTTCTTCTAGATCAAACAAACACGTTATAAACATGCTCTTTGCAAGCGATAGAAGCAGCTGCTTCTATTAGCAATTTGTGAGTATACTTGAAGTGATGGCTTTAAAAATAATGTATATGATTATGAAATCTAATCACGGGAGATCTAATTAGTGTCGATTTCTTAGAGGCTCGGAATCTGTCATCTTATTGGGATTAGTTCTTGAATTAGTTAGGGAAAGAATATATGTTCCAACTAAAAGTAGATTAGGGAATTGTTACTTCAAAGCTTTGATTTTGCATAAACGATACCACGATAGAAATCAGCTTATGAGCTTTTATATATTATATAATGGATTAGTAAACTAGATAATAATAGGCTTAAGGAAAATTGAATACCACATTATAGTCATTGATTTTATGGAATTGACTTGTGGAGTTCAGGTAGAATCCACAAAATAAATATGGTCAATGACACAAACAATCCTTAAATTTTGGCCCAATGTTCAATGTGGTTTGGTCCCTGAACTTTAAATTTGTTCAATGTGGTCCATTAACTGTAATCCAATATGCAGTGTCATTCCTGAACTTTTGATTTGTTCAATATGGTCCCTAGATTTTTGGTACATGTTCAATTTAGTCCCTAAACTGTATAAAAATGTTCAATATTGTTCCTCAACTTAAATTAATGGAAGGTCAATATTGGACATGTTTATACAGTCCAAGGACAAAATTGAACATGTACCAAAAGTTTAGGGATCACATTGAACAAATTAAAAATTCGAGGGCGGCTTTGCACACCGAGCTAAAGTTTATGGACAACACTAAATAAATTTAAGGTTCAAGGACCACATTGCATATTGGGCCAAAATGCATAGACCACTTGTGCCGTAATCCTAAATTAAATACTTGTGATTCATTCAGTCTCGCGGAACCTGGTCCAGCCACCAAGGCTACGAATGACAACCATTCTGCTTCAGAAATTAATTTCTGGCAAGAAATTGATTTTTCTATTTTTGTTCCTGGACAAGTTTCTGATAAAAAAAACACGATTGATAACGACACAAAATTTTTGTTCCCGAAACAAAAATTTGTTTGATAATGGCACAAAATTTCTCCCTCTCGGGTAGCCGGCAAGTGGACGGCGGGCGGATGGCGGCAAAGGACGGCAGGGGGAGGCGGCGGCCGACGACATCACAGCCAGTGTGGAGGACGGTTGCTGGAGGCGGCCGGCGACGAGAGGAGGGCGACCAGCGGCCCACAGCGGCCAGCAGGAGAAGGGCGACTGGAGGTGGGAGCGATGGCCGGTGGATGGCGACCGGCGAGAGGAGGACGGCCGGAGGCAAGAGTGATGGCCGATGGACGGCAGGCGATGGCCCACGGCGGCCGACGGTGGGAGGTGAACGGCGGCCGGAGGCAAGCAGCAGCAAGAGGAGGGCGACCAGCGGCAGGAGACAGTGGCCGGTGGATGGCGGTGGCGGGAGGAGGATGGCCGGCGGCAAGAGACGGTGGCCGATGGACGGCGGGCGGCGACCTACTGCGGCCGACGGTGGGAGACCGCGAATGGCGGGAGGCGGGCAGCAACAGGAGGAGAGCAGCCGACGGCGGGAGACAGTGGCCGGTAGACGGCAGGTGGCAGCCGGCGGTTGGAGTAAGGCGGCCGGCAGCGGGAGATGGCGACCGACGGTGGGAGGCGGGCGGCGGCCGAAGGAGGGCGGCCTGCTGCGGGAGAAGGCGAATGGCGGGAGGCGGCGGCCGGCAAGTGAGTGGCGACGGGCGACAGGTGGGCTACTGGCTAGTAGCAAGGGCGAGCGATGAGAAGAATTTTAACTTCTCATTTCTGTTCTAAACCTATTTCTGAAATCAAATTTTGTTCCAAAAATGGAAAAATGAAATTGCGTTATTAAACGGATTTCTGTTCCAAACCTGTTTTTGAAACAGAAAAATAGAAACAGAATGATTATCATTCGTAGTCCAAATTTCCAGAAAGTGGAAAGACTGAGAGACGCCGTAATGTTTGAATCTGACTCGCTTTTGGATTTGGTGAGCAAGTACGTCATCATCGCCCTATAAATATCTCGCTTCTCCCACACCCTTTCATATCACCATTCTCTTCAATACTCGATTCTGAGCCTGCCTATCGGTTTGCTTGTTCGCCAACTTCAAATCTAAGTAGTCCTTGTCCTGTTTGTAGTGAGATAATATGGCAATGTCAGCAGAAGACGAGCATCCTGTGAAGGCTTTGGGATGGGCAGCGAGTGATTCCTCGAGACTTCTCTCTGCCTTCAAGTTTTCAAGAATGTAACCTGCATATTTTCTTTCCTCTCATCAGATATCGTCTCTTAGATTAAGCTAGCTTTCTTTCACGTCACAGGTATATAGAAAACGAGACTGGTTAGAACCATTAAGTTTGAGAAGAATCGATGTCCATAGTGTGATACTGTTAAGGTAAAGCATTCAGCTGCAGTGGTGTGCTTATGGAGATCGAGAGTTGCAGATCTTTTTTTAAAAATAATCTGAAAGCACGAACCAAAGACCTAGCTATTAAGAGATTCATGAACATCATGCAAGGCCCATGAACTTTTTAAATCCAGGCATTTGGCCTATAGAACAGGTTCTAACTCAAAGCAGTTTGCATACTATCTATTTTGAAAATCCAAGGGCACAGTTGTGGAGACCCATGAAACATCACACAAGCCCATAAACCGATTAAGTCCAGACCTTTGACCTATACAGGTGGCTCTAACACGGGAAAGTTTGAACGCAATTAGTGCGATTCGAACGGTTGACCATTAGTTTCTGAGCTGAAATTTACCAATGCACCAACCAATTGTGACAATCTTAAAAGGCTATAAAAATTCTTGTTGAAATGCCTTAAATCCGTTTCTTTCCATAATATTTTCCGTGGGGTTACGGGAGAGAAAGATGTGACTTTTAAAGTGTTGTACTGTGGGATATGTCACTCTAACCTTCACAATGTGAAGAACGAATGGGGATTCATGTCTTACCCTGTGGTGTCCGGGTATGAGTTAAAAAGAATCGCCTTTTTTTTTCATTTTTCTCCTCATATTATGTGGAAAAGAATTACATTTGATTATTGTATTACAGACACGAGATTGTGGGTGTCGTAAAAGAAGTAGGAACCAAAGTGACAAAATTCAAAGTCGGAGACAGAGTGGGCGTCAGGCGTATGGTTGGATCATGTGACAACTGTGTGAGTTGTGGTGATAACCTTGAAAATTACTGCCCAGAAATGATTCCAGTCTATGGTAGTAAGTTTAGCCATGATAATGACAGTAAGTATCCGATGGAACTATTAACTGAGGTGGCTTCTCAGACATCATGGTTGCAGATGAGTACTTTGTATTTAAATTTCCAAATGATATGCCTCTCGATGGTGCGGCACCTCTCCTTTGTACCGGTTTCACTGTCTACAGCCCATTAAGGTACTACGGACTTGACAAGCCCGGAATGCACCTAGGAGTGGTTGGGTTCGGCGGGCTTGGCCATATGGCAGTCAAATTTGCCAAGGCAATGGGCCCTAAGGTGACCGTCATTACTCATTAGTACCTCCCCGAGTAAAAAGCAAGAAGCCATGAACCATCTTGGTGCTGATGCATTTTTGGTCAGTCGTGATGCAGAACAGATGCAAGTATGTTATGTTCCTGGCATGCTATTTCTTAATTGCACTTAGGATAAAGAGCCGCTAAAGTAATTTAACGTCACAATTTTTTTCTTGATGCAGTCAACCATGGGCACAATGAATGGCATTATAGACACCATCTCAGCTGTGCATACTCTCTTGCCGTTGATTGGTCTCTTGAAAACTCATGGGAAGCTTGTCATGGTCGGTGTACCAAATAAGCCCGTTGAGCTACTTGCTATGCCTCTCCTCATGGCTAAATAACTATGATATACTTCTTCTTGAAGAGATTGTCATCTATATTTTACTTACGATTAAAATTGATACAGAGGGCCTCCTGCATACGTATTAGCTCAAATCTGAAATGTGTGTGCATCACAATTTAGAACGCTCATTCGCAACATTGAACTTCTTCATTGTTACTAACGACAGGTAGGAAGATAGCGGGAGGAAGTATCATTGGAGGGATTAAGGAAACTCAAGAGATGATTGATTTTGTAGCGAAGCACAACATAACCGCAGATATTGAGGTTATTCCAATTAACTATGTGAACATTGCCATGGGGCGCCTCGCAAAAGCATATGTTAGATACCGATTCGTCATCGACATCGGGAATTCGTTGAAGTCTTACTGAAACTTAATTGTGCTAATAACTACGAGAAAGCTTGGATAGAGAAGCTCAATTTTCTGTTGACATCAGTTATTGGGAAAATTGTCCAGAAAGTCCCAAACCTATTGTACGAAGGCCAATTCAATCATAAATTTTTCAATTGTGCCAATTTAGTACTAAATCATTTGATGATTTGCCAATTTATTCTTAAACCTTTTAGTGATTTGCCACTATAGTCCTTATGGCCAAATATTCCAATAATAGGTTTGGATAATCTTCAAAAAAATTAGGCCTAAGTTGACACAAAGAAATGTTTAGAACTAAATTGGCAAATTATCAAAAGGTTTAGGACTAAATTGACACAATTGAAAGGTTTAGGACTGAATTAGCTGCCGTACAATAGGTTTAGGACATTTTGGACAATTATCCCGTCATTAGTTTCTATGCATGTTTTTCGTCATACTCACATCATTGTTCTTGTTTGAACAAAGAAGTCTTCTCTAAGGACAATTGCTACGCGAAACTAGTTATATTGAGAGTGTGTTTGTTTCGTGGAAAGTGTCTTGATTGAGGAATATATTGTCCGTGAAAATAATTTTCAAAGAAAATGGTCGATTTACGAATCATAACGGCACAATTTGCAGTTCAGCAAAAGGCAATTAATATATTTCCCATCCCTCCCTTCTCAAACATCATCAAAATCTATTCACTGGCAGTCGGTTCAAACACTTCTCATCCCCTCTTCTTTGGGACAAGGAATTATTCAGCGAGTTCATACATATACTTGGTTGAATTTTGACGCTTTATATCTAATAGAAGCCACGCCAGATTCACATGAAAACCATCAATTTCGATGCACCAACATGTCATGGTATGAAATGGAAGTCCAGCCGGTTTAGCCTATAGCCGAAGTGCCTTGATCCACTTCTGGCGGGCATAGGCAATGTGCTTGTAGGGGAATAGAGAGGAAAATTAGAAAGCCAAAACCGGAGAGAATGTTAGAGAAGGAATATCTCCATCATGCAATTGTCTGCATATTTAAAAGGGGAAAAAATAAACTGAATATTAAAGTCATAAATTCATTTGTCTTCTTTTGGATTGATCTCATTAGCAACCCTGCACGCCAATCCTAAAAGGCATTTGAACATTTTCCTCCAAATAAAAATTTAAAAAAATCAAATAATTAAAAAAAATTACCCTTCAAATCGGCAACCAACTATCTATACTCTATCACCATTGATGCGTCGGGTTACACCACACCGAGGTGAGTGAGTTAACATTTGATACTTTTGTTTTTTACTAGGACGATAGACACAAGGTGATCAGGAGGTGAAACTTTTGTTCTCTGTCGTTTGCCCGAGGTTATTGGCTTTGGTTATGGAGGATACGAGACAAGCAATGCCGTAATGGACTGTAATCCCCAGTTTGGCACATTCAGGATGTCAATTTTCTCACCTATGATTCTATGACATCCGTCGTCCGCTTTGTCTGTCGTCGTCAAAAGCAAAGCATCGCAGCACAATCTAGCTTAGGAATGAGAGAGATACCAGCAAAGCAATTGAAAGGCCTCCAATTTCTATAAACAAAGGATAGAAGTCATCCAATACTATCGGGAAGAAGAAGTTCCGACCTTCTATTGCTGGGTGGAGGACAGAAATTGCATGTAAAGGCAAGGAACGATGGTAAAACCCGTAAACAAGCGATGTAGGGAGACTCTTGATAGACTTTCTCGTGTGCCAGGCGAAGTTGAAGAACGAAGTAAATAATACGAATAAGAACTTCACAAAAAATTGAAATGCGGCATGTTAAACAAATTTCTCTTGAATAAATTTCAACTTCATCCAAAATTTTTTCATCTGGAACATATGAAATTTGTAATCAAATGTTACTTAACCTTTCACTATATTCCATTGTTTACAACAGAAAAAAAAGGCATGACATGTCGGAAAACTCCCCTTCGTTTCTGAAGTCACTGGTGTACTGTAGCTAAATTTTGATTCACTGATATTTCACGAGCATATCGAATCGCTAATATTATGAAAAATAATGAAGGCATCGACTCAAATATAAGACTGAAGCAAATGTATAGATTATAAAATGATTCAAGTTCCAATTCGTCCACTCCTGAGACTTGCTCATCACGATCATCATTTCCTTTGGTTTTTGGAGGCAAAGCGAAGTACTAGGTAGAACAAGATCCTATATAGAACCGCCCAACCCAACATTATCAGCACGTTCTTCCACTTGTCGGATTCATGTGTCGAAATATGAAATCCCGATAAAATTTCAGTCCCTGTGATGTTATATGAGATATTTTCGGGGGTGACACTATTTCCAAAGATCGCATTCGTCTGGTATTGGTTCATCAATAGCCCCTCGTACGGATAAGTCATTGTTGAGATCTTGTTCATCCACTTCCAGTACCCCGGAATGTCGTGGCTATTCACGAAGTACCCGCAAAACAGGAAGAACAGCGCAGTGAAAGCAATGACGGCTGCATAACCGAGTATGTAGTTGGGCACGACCGAGCTGACAAACACCACGAACGAATTTGTTGAGAGGAGCGACACATAGAGGACAAGCAAGAAGTACAAGAACGACCCGCGGAGCTTTAGGGCCTTATAAACGATGCCAGCATAGACCGCAGCCTGAACCGCGAGGAAAGGCAGGTAAGTTATGAGGCCGGCGATTGTGTAGGAAGAGGCACGGTAGGCATTGTGGGAGGTCTCGCGGACGAAGATGAAGCGCTCTTGAATGAAGGCCGGGACAGCGTCATTGGAAGAGAAGAAGAAGAGGCAGACAGTGAAGATGAAGAAGCTGAGCCGGTCCGTGATCCCTTGGTTGTTTTCCTTCGGGTTCATGAACATCGTCGCCATCATGAGCCCCATGATGGTAAGCACCATCAGCCTCGAGAGGAAGAGCTCGGGGGTCCGCTGGATGTTCTTAAAATTGCGGCGCATGAGCATCCAGGTCTCAGGGAAGAACGAATTTGCAAACTTAGGGCCGAGATTTTGGTGAGATCCGAGGGCATTCGGGCCAATGTCGGGGGTCAAGTAGTCATTCTCGTTCACTGTGTAGTCGCTGCTGTGAGGCGTCGGCGTCTCACGGAGAATTTCACTCGAGTATGCGTAGTAACTTCCCGGTGATGCACTGTATAACCAATGAATGATGGAGATGAATTAGCGTTGCTTAAACTAGAAGCAGAAAAATTAGTGAAGATTAATTTTCGGTAGTAAGGTTTGGGGTTAAGGTATGCGACTTTTGCGAGTTCAAGAGTCCGAAATCAGCGCAAAAAATATCTTAAAATTGCGAAAGTAGCCACATTGCCATCTAATTAAATGGTTTAATACCTCATTGCAGCTTGCATCTTTGGGTCAGCCTTTTGTCTTGAAGGAGTCAATCCAAGTGCCTGCATAACTCCACTGCGGCTTGGAGTCCATGATCTAGATGAATTATTGTAAGGACTTCTCAAGCTGTGGTCGAACTCATCGTTCGCAGAGTGCATGCTCGCTTGCAAGTGTAATCGCCGGCCATTTCTTTGGTCCTGGCTCTGATCATGCCCTTGATGCCTGTGATCACGGTGATGAGAAGATGGGGTGGGCACAATCGTCGAGAATGACATCTCCTCGTCAGACAGCGGCGGGGGTTTCATGCCCGTCCGGACGAACTCGGCGAGAACTTCGACCCCGAACTCGGACTGATCATACTCTTGGATGATGTCGATGAGGTGCTCTATAGAGTTCTCGCCCTTCGGGACTTTCCGGCCCATGCGGCCCAGGTGCAGGGTCACGTCTTTCGGCGATCCTTGGAACATGAGCTGGCCGCGGGCCAGGATGATGAGATGGTCAAGGAGGAGTTGGATTCTTGACGAAGGCTGGTGGATGGTGAGGATCACTGTGCTGCCGGACTGAGCTATGTCGTGCACCTTCTCAATCACGCTGTGGGCGCTGGTCGAATCGAGGCCCGAGGTTGGCTCATCGAGAAAGAGAAGGGGTGGCCCGTGGATGATGTCAACACCGATTGATACCCTCCGGCGCTCTCCTCCGGACACCCCGCGTGTCCCCTCGTCGCCTATGTAGGTGTTTCGGGATGACTGTGATCAAAAAAGTGATCGCACAAATTACTCGGGGAAAACAATGAAATTCTCCTTAGACATTGTATGCTTCGATGCAAATCCAATCTTCATGTGCAACTCCTTGCTTAAAACGTATTGTATAGACTGGTTCTTGAAAGGATCAGTGCACAAAATGATTTAATATCGCGAGAATCGTATAGGGGTAATGTCTGTCAATAGAAGTTAAAGTAAATTCAACTATCGAATCGCTAATATTATGAAAAATTATAACTCAATGTTTATAAAAGTAGTCGTATTTGAGCATTCAATAGAAATCCGGTGCATCAATTTTAAAAAAAAAAAAATTACAATCAGTCTCACCCTCAAATGCTACTAGAAAAAGTCAAGGTTAGTACTCAAAACTCACCGAGAGTCCGAGCTGCTCGATCAACTTCTCCACTCTCTGGATCTTGTCTGCCGTCGAGATCTGCCCCAGCCGGAAGTCAGCGGCGAACATGAGTGTCTCGTAGACGGTGAGCATCGGGAACAACCTATCGTCTTGCATGATGTAAGCGGAGGTCCTCTTGATCAAGCTAGGACTCATCTCCATGCCATCCAAGGAGACCCGGCCCTTGAGGCTCCCGCTCGCGATCCTCCCTGCCAGGCCGTCCAAGAACGTGGACTTCCCCGCCCCGCTCGGGCCCATCACCGCCGTGACACACCCTTTTGGGGCGTAGCCAGTGATCCTGTGGAGCAAATCCACGTCCTGCTTGACCCAGTTCCCATCGATCTTCTTCTTCTTGGTAACGGTGTAGGTGAGGGTGGAGAACTCAAGCCCGCCGGTGAAGTTCATCGGCTTTGGAATCTCGATCACCGTTTCTCGACGATGCCCATTCTTATGAGACATTGCTCAGCGCTCCTTCCTGTCGCTTGGGTGGTGGTTTGAACCCTTCCCCTTGGTGAACTTATTGCATAGAGAGGGAGAGAGATTCAGAACTACCTTTTGGTGTTTCTCCTTATGGTCTCTTAAATTGTAGTTGTTGTGTACAGGGGATATTAATAAATGTTGCAGAGAGAGAGAGAGAGAGTTTCCACAGCTGGAGGGGCACTTCAAGGAGATAGTTTCAAAGCATGGTGGTGAGGATGTCTTTATCGAAGGATCCAAGTTTGGTCGTATTCCTTCGAAAATCACGGCATGCCTTCTTGTAAACTCCAAGGCCTTTGGTTGGAGTCTAGCTCTCGAATTGGCTACCCCTTGGCCTATCTCAGTTGGATGTTTCTACATGCTTGATTACTTTCTCTTAATGCGAGAAACCTGTACATTGTGTTCCTGAGATTGATTATCAATTTATCAGGTCCATCCACAGCAGAAATGCTTACATAGATAATGTCCATAATAAACTCGCCCTACACGTGTCATAAGGTCGACTTTCTTTATATCGGATTTCTTTACCATCAATGTACTTAATATGAATCTGTAAATTTACGTATGATCACTAAGCAACTCTAGAATTGCTGTGGCCGACCCCTTTCCGAGCTTGTGAACCCTCTAATTACATTCACATAGCCATTGATTCAAAAGAGCAAACCATCGAGAGTATGTTGCAGGACTACACAATGAGCCTCACTCGAGTGAATGCGTATTGAAGTTCATTGGTAGAGAAAAAGTAATGTAGCTGAATGTGTTGGTCATGAGATGCCAATTGAAGTTCATTGGTAGAGAAAAAGAGTTTCAAACAAGATGTTATCATCGGTATAGCTTTCAAAGAGCAACCTTCAGAGGTTACGTACCAACTGGATTCTTAAAACATTTGGAGGATTCCAAAGTGAATTATTCGATTACAGAAGGAAATACATGTATAATTGCCAACTTTAGGTTGTCAAAAACCATTTGTTTAAAAGATGTAAGGATCAATTTGTTGGTTGCTTTTCCCAAGAAGTGGATTGCCCTTGGCTATCTCTAAACCTGTCAAAATGGGTTACACGTTAAACCATATTTAATGGGTTGAGTTGTTATATGTGTTAATTATATTTAGTAAATAGGTCATAAAATAATATGAGTGTTAAATAGGTTCACAACTTACCTAGGCCCAATCCACCTCTATGACTTTCTTTTCACTCTCTCTCGCCCTCACTTTATCTCGCACTCGCTCACTCTGCGCTCTCACTTCAATTTGAGTATGAGTTTTCTTAAATTGGGTTAAGTATGGAAGTGTTTTAATAATACGGGTAGGATCAAGTACGAGTTGGATTGGATATGGGTCACTGAAATTGCATTGCATGGAAATGGGTCAATTTGAGTCCGACCCACTCAATTGACAAATCTACTTGTCTTATATGGGTGGAAAAGTTTTATCAGTAAACTAGAAGACACGGATAATGCAAATGTTTGATTTATCGGAAAGCTAATGGAAATATTTGACAAGATGCTTAACATTATCATCTTGTAGATATGGACTGATCCAATGGGCTTAGCCCAAATAACGTTTAAGCCTAGGGTTCGACATTTAAGTCGGTTGACTTTTTGGATGGACTTTAAGGTTGAGAGTTCGACAAGGAATATTCAAGTGGGGATCATTGGAGGTGGATAACGAATCACTTACACTGTTTCTTCTATTCAATTTGGAATTTGCAGTAATAAGCAAAAATTGGCTGAAATGACTAAATTGAAATTTTGGGTAAAATTTTAAGACTTAATTAACAAATTAAAATATTTATGACTGAATTCGCATCCGTATTTTCTCTTTTCACCCACTCTCTGTTTCTTTTTTCTCTTCCACTCTAAGTTCCCTCGACTGAGAAATAACTTTCAGTCGAGAGAGGCTCCATCTTCTCAACTTGAATTGAGATTTTCTCTCCCAATATGATCTAGGAGTATTTTATTGTTTTTATCTAGTTTATTTGTTTTTTTCTTTGCTCACTGTTGATGCTCTTATATGCTCGTTGGGCGTACTTTCTGCTTCTATTGTTAGAAATTAACCCATTACTTCAGATCCTTCAAACCAAGAAGTCCGACAAGATCGAGGAGGAATATGGTGAGTTCATATTGCACTGAGCGGTTATACGAATTCTTCGAGTTTTGAAAGCTCCCATCTACCAATCTAGATCTAGATCTAGATCTAGGAGCTCTTTTCTCCCGATCTAGATTTAGATATGGGAATTCCTTAGAGGCGCATGTGCTCATTCAACTCTTGATCAGGATATAGATTTGGGAACCTATTCAACCTGTTTGTGATGTCTTCATATGTTGACGGTGTTGAGAACACTGAACCTAAACTTGCACTACTCAAAGGGCAAGATGTAGTTATAGGAGAATGAGATTACATTGTGTGCTCATCACTTATAATGATGCAAAATTTGGCGATCGGTCTTTGTTCGTTCAGCTTTGATATTGAGACGGATTTGTTCTAGCGGAATGAGAGTCTGCTTATCACAGCAGTTTGTGCTTTATTACTGTATTTTGCTATTTGGGATTTGCTTTGTTATGAACCTCTCATGTATCATCTTGAGATCTTGAGATATGAATGAAATATTTACTTTTGACCAAAAAACACTCGCATCCGTATAATAGATTTATGACCGATTGAGTAATTTTCTCCTCTTTCATTCTTGGCGGTGGCCGGCGAAAAGGAAAGAAAAAAGTAGAGAAATAAAAGAAAAAAAATTAAAAATAAATAATAAAAAATCGATAAAATATTAAAAGAGTATTAAAAATTATCCACGTCAGCGTCGGTCGCACCACGTAAGATGGTCGACATCCATTTCAACGCTAGCCGATCAAAATTAGCCAGATTGACTAAATTAGCAAAAATGTAAAAGATTTAGGACTCAATTGGCAAAAACATAAACAAGGTTTAGGACTAGCACAATTGCAATAGATTTAAGACTTTTTTTGTAATTTTACAAGAATATGAGAAGTTACAACTTTTATGCAGATAAAATATTCTATATACTTTGATGGAATTAAAAGCACCTTTTAATAGCCTATATAAAGAGCATGATACTCTCTCCACCCACAGACGACGGAAGTTGTATTTTATCGTCCATAAGATTTCTTCGTTTCTCCTATTTCAGCAACAATTTTTTTCTTAAAGTTATTGCTATGATAAAGGTATGTGTTTTCGTCTCTCTTGTCGGTGAATAAATCATAAAAATCTAAAATTCTTTGATATTGGATTTCCGCAAAAAAGATTACATTATCGCTAATACGTGACTCATCTGTATGTTGGAGTCCACGATCTAGACCAATTATTGTAAGGATTTCTCAAGCTGTGGTCAAAATCATCGTTTGCCGAGTGCGCGCTCGCTTGCAAGTTGCAAGTGCAATCGCCGGCCGTTTCTGTGGTCGTGGCTCCGATTGTGCCCTTGATGCCTGTGATCACAGTGACGAGAAGGCGGGATGGGTGCGGCTGTTGAGATTGACGTCTCTTCATTAGACGGTGGCAGGGGCTTTAGGCCCGCCTGAGCGAAGTCAGCAAGAAATTCGACCCCGAACTCTAAATGATCGTACTCTCGGATGATGTCGATGAGGTACTCTATCGAGTTCTGGCCCTTCGGGACTTCCCGCCCCATGTGGCGGAGGTGGAGGATCACGTCTTTCGGCGATCCTTGGAACATGAGCTGGCCGCGGGCCAGTATGAGGAGATGGTCGAGGAGGCGCTGGATTCTCGGTGAGGGCTGGTGGATGGTGAGGATCACAGTGCTGCCGGACCGAGCTATGCCATGAACCTTCTCCATCACGCTGTGGGCGCTGGTCGAATCAAGGCCCGAGGTTGGGTCGTCGAGAAAGAGTAGGGATGGCCGACGGATGATGCCGACGCCAATCGATACCCTCCGGCGCTCTCCTCCGGACACCCCTCGTGTCCCCTCGTTGCCAATGTAGGTGTTTCGGCATGACTGTAATCAAATTAGTCATTGCGCAAATTACTCTGGAAAAGCAATTAGCTTCTCCTTAGACTATGTACACTTCGGTGCATATCCAACTTCGTATGCAAATTCTTTGCTTATACATACTAAGTAGACTGGTTCTAGAAAGGATCAGTGCACAAAATGACTTATGTTGCAAGAATCATATACGAATAATGTCTGTTTATAGAAGTTACCGTGAATCGAACTATCTTAATGCGTGATTTCTTCTATTTTGTAAAATGAATTTAGGTAGTATTTTCTAATTGTCAATGTTTATGTATCTTATATATTGATTTGTTGGTTTGTGTATGTATCTATAACTTTATGGTGAAAGCTTTTTTGTATAGAAACCTTCGAGACGGAAATAGTCAATGGGGATGCGCGAGAAATCTACACCTGTAGACTCCATGACGAATAACTTATGATTGAGGGTGCGTTTGTTTCGCGAAAAACTTAATAATAAAGAAAAGTATTTTTCCAAAAAATTATTTTTTAGGAATACGCTTAGTTTTCTTTTGTTTGGTAATACACAATGGAAATCGTTTTCTGATAGTTGGATTTCATTGGAAAATGATTTCGATCTCATGATTTTATTTCGAGCAAAAAAAAATCGATTTTTTTATTTTTTTCTCATTTTTTTTCTTTTTTTGAAAAATTGGAATTTTATTATTTTTTAATTTTCTTTTTCTCTTTTCTTTGTCCTTTTTTTTTATTTTCTTTCCTTTTCTTTTTCCTCCGCCAGGACCAGCCGGCGATGGCTACCGGCGAGCTCGAGGCTCGCCTGGCGATGGCCACAGGTGAGCTCAAGCTCGTCGGCCTCGGCGGAGCTTGGGCTCACCGCCAGCGGCCACCGCGAGCTCGCCAGCTGATCGGCTTGAGGAAGAAGAAAAAGAAAAAGGAAGAAAAGAAAAGGAAAGAAAGAAAAACGAAAAAAAAAAAAGAATAAATAATAAATTATTTGATTTTTAAAAAAAATAATAGAAAATGATTTTAAATAAAATAATAAATAAATAAAAATTCGATTTTTTAAATAAAATATTTTTATAAGAGCAAGCGTTTCATTAATTAAGGATCCGAGCCCAAGCACTGAGAACATGCGCACGGCCTTTGTGGACTCGGGCTAGAGGGTCGGGACTAGAGCTCAAGTATCGGGGACCTAAGCACCGCCTTTATAGACTCGAGGTCGAGTGCCGGAGCATCAGGTACGGGCACCAGGAATTCGAGCTCAGCCTCAATGGACCCGAGCGTGGGCGCTGGGGGCCCGGGCCCTGGACACCGAGGTCTCAAGCCCGGCCATTGAGACCTGGTCCTGAATGTTGGTACCCGGGAACCACCGTTGAGGTTTTCGTGCTTAAGCGTAGAGTTTCAGGTTAAAGCGCTAATAGCAGTCATACTTTGGAAAACTTTTTCCGATTCTTTCAAAGGGGAAATCATTTTCCTAAATTTAAGCTTCGGTAAGGAAACACTTTCCGTTGACTAGAAATATATTTTCTGTTGACTCATTTTTCTAAGCAAACCAAATACCAGAAAGAAAAGTGTTTTTCCGAAACAAACGCACCCTGAATGTTAGTATAAGAAGTCGTATTTAAGCACTCAATAGAAAAAGTCAAGGTTTGTACTCAAAACTCACCGAGAGTCCGAGCTGCTCGATCAACTTCTCCACCCTCTGGATCTTATCCGCCCTCGAGATCTGCCCCAGCCGGAAGTCGGCGGCGAACATGAGCGTCTCGTAGACAGTGAGCGTCGGGGACAGCCTATCGTCTTGCGTTATGTAAGTGGAGGTCCTCTTGATCAAGCTAGGACTCATCTCCATGCCGTCGAAGGAGACCCGGCCCTTGAGGCTCCCCTTCGCGATCCTCCCCGCCAGGCCGTCCAAGAAGGTGGACTTCCCCGCCCCGCTCGGGCCCATCACCGCCGTGATGCACCCTTTCGGGGCGTAGCCCGTGATCCCGTGGAGCAGGTCCACGTCCTGCTTAATCCTGTGCCCATCGATCTGCTCATTCTTGGTCACACCGTACGTAAGGGAAGAGAACTCGAGCCCGCCCGTGAAGTTCATCGGCCTCGGAATCTCGATCACCGCACCATGACGATTGCCATTCCTACGAGCCATTGCTCGGTTCTCCTTCCTATCGCTTGGGTGGTTGTTTGAACCCTTCGTGTTGGTGAACCTACTGCATAGAGAGGAAGTGAGATTTAGAAGTGCCTTTTGGTGTCTCTCCTTTTGGTCTCCTGAAGTTGTGGTTGTTCTGTACAGGGGATATCAATAAATATTGGGGAGAGAGAGAGAGAGATTCCACAGAGGGAGGGGCACTTCAAGGAGAGAGTTTCAAGGCATGGTGGTAATGTCTTCATAGAAGAATCCGGCTTTGGTCGTATTCTTCGAAAAGCAGGGCATGCCTTCTTGTTATCTTCGAGGCCGTTGGTTGGAGTCTAGCTCTTGAATTGGCTATCCCTTGGCCTACCTCTTTTGGATGTTTCTACATGCTTAATTGGTCTCTCTTCATGCGAGAAACTCACGCGTTGTCGGCATGAGATTGACCATCATTTCTCAGGTGCACTTACAGCAGAAATGCTCACACAGCCAATACGTAGATTAAGGTCCATAATAAGCTCACACTACGCGCCATACGTAGAGTTTAAAGTTTGAGTTTATATTGCGGAAAACCTTATACTTGTTTATGGCGTAAACTCTTATATGGGTAGATCAGTTGTCACATGGCAAACTCGGCAATGTTAAAGGAGGATGTCATTATCACTATAGCTTTCAAAGAGCAACTTTCAGAAATTACGTACCAACTGGATTCTCAAAACATGTTGAGGATTCCAAAGTGACTTTGAACTTATGGATCAAGCTCCTCCTGCAAGGCAAGCTTGGAGAAATGGGTGTTGAAGGAAAGAGTAATCTGACATTGGCCATGACTTGCTTGGTGGTTAGCGGTCTTGGATGGCAAGTGTGCACGGGCCTTCTATTAATATATGGACTGCTCATTGGATTCATCGAAACAATGAAGACATTTCTGGCTCGTTGATCAGGAAGGATGTGTTTGGCGCGGAGCTGATTCGTTTCGCTTATTCTGTCCCTCAGGGGCAAAGAGCACTTTGCAAATACCAACTGAATTCTTGTAACGTTTCGAAGCTTGACATAGAATTTACATGATATGGCAATATGCCTACGTTCGCGGGAAGCAATCGATGAGATGCTCTCAATTATTAATCAAAACTGAACGAATTAGAATCGCTCAATCACACACTCTCAAGTGTTTACCCCAACTGCAGCCGTATAGCCTCACGAGAATGAAATCAAAGACAGAACAGAAGTAAACCGTTATAAGTTCTGACGGCTCTCCAAAACTTTTTCTCCAGTTAGACTTGATGTAATGAAAGAAATAAGTCGAACCCCAGACTTAAAATATTGTTCCATACGCGTTTCGAAGTCCGCCTACCATTGCCAAGATGTATGAATAATTCAAGGTAAAAAATCAGGGAGCAGGTCAAACGACGGAATTATGCTTCGTGGTCCAATGTCCAATCCTGCTTACATTCGATTCTCCGGCCAGCATGATGTGGCCAGACATCCGTCTTCCTTGGCAGAATGTCCAAATCTAATTCGAACCCACGATCCAACCATGACTAACAGTAAGTCGAGCACCTTTTACTGATCTTTTAAGACAATCGATCTTTGTCGATGAATACCATCCTCTCGCAATCTCAACGTATTCACATGCGTCAAGCGTCCTCTAACTCCAATCGCAAGTCAATTCCAAATTGGATTGAGCCACAAATAAAAAATCTTCACTTTTCTCCAAGTCCAACTTCAAGATCATAGATGACAGTTTCTTCCAAGCCTGCTAGGCTCACCACCTTAATATCACCCTTGATCTTCTTAAGTAGCCTTCTAATCTTCAAACTAACCGTTGGAAGCCACTTCTTAGTCAAAGGAGCTGCTGGACGAACTTCTCTGGCCAGCAGACCTACTTTTTGCTAATCGAGCCTGTTGTCTGCGGTCAAAGCAGAAGTTTTTTCGAAATTGGAGTCTTTTATGCTTCTACAGGCTATCTCAATCTCTGTACTACTTGCACAAAAGAGGAAAAATTGTTCTGATCTTCTCTAGGCTACTTTCTGCGGATTTCACACCTTAAAAGCAGTAGCTGGACACCAATTTGAATTCAAATCGAATTCGAAAGAGCTATGGGTCCTCCTAATTAGGATTGGAGAAGCACTAATCATATCTTCTACTCTACGGTCTCTACCTGGTAGAAGGAGCTGCTTCTGCAGATGGTCCCTCCACTCGAGGTGGCAGAGAGACAGATGGAGGGAGGGAGAGGGTTGTAGCAGATTAAGTTTGCTTTGTTACTATATGCTAATCAGAGTTATCTTTTTATTTTTTAAGGACACAAACGCAAAGCGCAACTACTTTGGAGGCTCATGAAATATCCTGCAATGTCTATGAACCGAGTAAGTACAGCCCTTTAACTTGTAAGCCCCTACTATACAGCAGTAATTTGAACCGGTGGCTTTCCCTTTATTCCCAACTAAGTATGCTAACAATGGGAGATTAAATGCTAATACCAACCTAACTCAATCTTTTTTTTTATCTTGTATCTGGTTTGACTTTCGTATTTTTCTTTTTACTTTATTTAGATTTTGTAGCCTACACACTTTAACTTTTTTAACCAGAAATATTTAAAACTGTCATAACATATAAATAGTGATGCGTAAATCAACTTACTTTGAAATTTGGATATAATTACGGAAAAGCAAAATGGTACTTCTGTTCACTTATGTTTAATTCTAAACAAACAAGCTCCAAACATTTTCAGGGCCCAATCTTTAGTCATTTCAGAATTTCAGCGATCAATATGTGCTCTCTCGGTTTGAACTTCTTTCGTCCTGGTAAATGAGAAAAGATTTTCTAGTCAATGATATGCCAATATTAGGGGTGTGCAAAGGAACCGGGAACCGCCCGGACTGCCCAGAACTGGACCGAACCAGCTCGAAACCGGCAATTCCCATGAGAACCGGTCCGGTTCCTGATTCTAATTTACTAAAACCGGTGAGTACTGGTCCAGTTTCCGGTTCTAGGCATGGAACTATCCACCCGCCCACCCGGACCTGACCGGTAATATATATATATATATAAAGAAAAATTTCAACCAAAAAACAAAAAGAAAACATTTTTAGAAAAAAGAAAACCATAAAATCCCTAATTTGAAACTCTACTCTCAACTCCCATCAACTTACAGCCGCACCTCTAGCCGTTCATCGCCTCCCTCTCTCACTCTCGGTCACCTACATTTTCGTGAAACTTGGTGAGACTGGCTCCATGGATCCACCAGAGAATCAGACCGGATCGCCGATCCGATTCCCGGGGGATCCATGGAACCAACGGGCGGTTCCCGGTTCTAATTTCTCGGAACCAGTCCTTAGTAGGCGGTTCCTAATTCCATATTGGGAACCGCTCGCTCGGACCATGCTCATCCCTAGCCTACACATGGCCAAAATATCAATATGCCTTTAAGACTCCGTTTGTTTCGCTAAAAATGAATTATTTGAAAAATATTTTCTCAAAAATAATCGCTCGTATCGTCGAAAATAATTAGTCGATAAAAAATGTTTTTATTACCGCTAACAATTTATGTGTAAACACTTTCGTGGATGATGAAATTTTTTTTTGTTCATTCATTTTTGTAAGCGATATAAGCGATATTTTTTAGGAAAATATTTTTCAAATCATTCATTTTTCCCAAAACAAATAAAGCCTAATTGTTTATTTATTCGACATGGTTCGCTTGTTCAATGCATAACATGGGCCCTAGGATTAAGCATGGTCCGAGTTGGGCCGGTCCAACACCTAACCTAAGGATGAACTCACACAATGTTGGACCCCAAATTTTGGGACCGACAACCAATCCTGTTGAATATGGGACTGAGGGCCGAACCGTCCTTATGGGTCCAGTCTGATTCCAAGGTCAACCCAGGACCAACGGATTATTTTTTTGTTTCATTTTTTGTATTTTTTGAAAGGACAAACATATTATTTCAAATTACATGTCTATCAACAACACGACATTGAACAACTAAACTATAAATACCAATACATATCAAACATAAATATAAGATACGGTAACATCATAAATTTTACACTTGCTAAAAGCAACAAACCACAAAAACGAACACATGAAATACAATTAAACCATAAAAAGTTCAAAAAACGTAATATAAACCATGAATTATACAACTTTATATCTTGTTCATTCTTAAATGATCGCTTCAACTTCCGAACACCTAAAAACAAAACTAACAACACACATAATTAATACGTAACAAAGTATGTTTGTCCAACTGAGCTGCGCTCATGAGGCAAGCGAGGAAAGGCCAGAGGCGAGCGACGAAACGAGTGAATAGAGGCAAGCAAGGCAAGCAAAGAGAGGTGAGCGGTGAGCGGTGAGCGGTGAGCGGTGAGCGGTGAGCGGTGAGCGAGGCGAGCAAAGAGGGTTTCTATTTTCTTTTCTTTTTTATCGAATTAGGGGTAGTTTCTTTGGGAAAAGTGCCAAAAAAGTCCTAAACATTTTGCATTTGTGCCAATTTAGTCCTAAACCTTTTTTTGGTGCCAATTCAGTCCTAAACCTTTTGCATTTGTGCCAATTTAGTCCTAAACCTTTTTTTGGTGCCAATTGAGTCCTAAACCTTTTGCATTTATGCCAATTCAGTCCTAAACCTTTTGTCTTTGTGCCAATTCAATCCTTCCGGTCAATTTTGGCCGGATTTTGCTGACGTGGATGACGACCGGTTGGCGAGCAGTCATCGGCGCTGACGTTGACAACTTTAATAATATTTTAATATTTTTTTGAATTTTTACTATTTTTTTTCTTTTTTTTCTTTTCTTCTTTTTTTTCTCTCCCCTCCCTCCAGCCGGTCGCCGAACCGGCGACCGACCGGTGGCCAGAGGCCAAAGGCCGGCGCCGGCGAGGCTCGCCCACGCCGGCCACTGGCGAGGCTCGCCCTCGCCAACCACTGACGAGGGCAGCCTCGCGCTGGGCGAGGCTCGACCTTGCCAGATCCGGCGAGGTCCGACCTCGCGCTGGGTGAGGCTCGAGCCCTTGCCGGAGGCCGCTGGCAAGGGCTCGAGCCTCGCCATGGCTGGGCGAGGCCCGACCTCGTCGGATCTGGCGAGGTCGAGCCTCGCCGGCGGCTGGGCGAGGCACGACCTCTCCGGATCTGGTGAGGTCGGGCCTCGCCCAGCCATGGCGAGGCTCGCCTTCACCGTCGCTGGCGAGGGCGAGCCTCGCCGGCGGCTGGGCGGGGCATGACCTTGCCAGTGGCCGGCGAGGGCGAGCCTCGCCAGTGGCCTGCGTGGGTGAGCCTCGCCGGCGCGGGCCTCTGGCCTTTGGCCACCGACCGGTCGCCGGTCCGGCGACCGGCTGGAGGGAGGGGAGAGAAAAAAGAAAAAAAAATTCATAAAAATTCAAAAAAATATTAAAATATTATTAAAGTTTTCCACGTCAGTCCCGGTGACCGGTCGCCGGCCGATCGACGTCCACGTCAGCAAAATCCAGCCAAAATTGATCGGAAAGACTGAATTGGCACAAAGACAAAAGGTTTAGGACTAAATTGGCACAAATGCAAAAGGTTTATGACTCAATTGGCACCAAAAAAAGGTTTAGGACTAAATTGGCACCAATGCAAAAGGTTTAGGACTGAATTGGCACAAAAAAAAGGTTTAGGACTAAATTGGCACCAATGCAAAAGGTTTAGGACTTTTTTGGCACTTTTCCCTAGTTTCTTTCTACTTTCTAATTTACATAACAAACTGAACTGCATAAGAAAGAAGATAACAGAGGAGGAGGCACTAGGATTTAGAGTAGAAAAAAAGCATATAATATATAATATCTAATATATACAGGGTTGGTCCGGTTTTGATTAACCCTAAACTCCTAGGACCGAAGGCCAATCCGCATAATGCAGGGTCCAGGGGTCCTAAGATCAAGGACTGACCCAGTCACCCTTGGAACCAGACCCAGACTGGCCAAGTTGGACCAGTCTATGCCCTGGACCGATGCTCACCCTTAATGGGCCTGTCAAAAAATATTCCTCACTTTCTTTTTTTTTTTGGTCGAAAAAGATATTCTTTACTTGAATAGTAGGAATTCACGAAAAGCATAAAGATGAAAGATCAACCTCTTGATGTTTAAATATGCTTTGCGTTAAGTTAAGCCACATTCTTTCGGCTGCAGAGATAGGATTCTTTGGGCACTTGGACAGTTTGATATTCAAAACAATACGACTGTCCGCAGACAGCACCAAAGTTTACTTTCGTGCCCCTAAACTTATAAGAATGAGAGTAATAAAAGGAAAAAGAGGGCCTTTTTTTCTTTCTCTTTTCAGGGCTATTCTGGGTCAGTTCGGAGCCGAGTTAGGCATGGAAGTCCACTTACTTTTGCAAATCAGAGATTTTGCTTGTTTTACTTATAGTAAAATTATAAGAATTTTTGGTTGCTAATCGAACCTCGAGAATTTCAATCACGATATTCAAATGATAGGGTAAGACATCTATGAGTGCAAATTTCGATGTCAATAATTTGGACACATCAAATGCCTGTAATTATTACAGTATTTCCCACTCAAAATAACCTTAAAGGTTACACCTGCCGTCACAAGTTTGGCACAGGTTAATGTTATAGGCGTCCGTGGAATCCAGTTGGGCCCAAGAATTCGAAGCCTCGTGCTATCCCTTTAAAAAGTAGCCTAGTATTAGAGGTATTGGTTGGGCATTTCAAGCTCGAGAGTGGAGACAGAATCGAGTCAAGACTTGAGATTGACTCATCTAATTTCTAATCAAGCTCGAGCTACTTTAGTATTTTGTCCAATCAGGTCAAGACTTGAGATTGATATCGATATCGGCCCCATTATTTTTTATGTGCTATCATAGCCAAAAGATTATGTGTTTACGACACAGTTATTAGATGATGATTGTAATTTAATTTCCATAACATGTGATCTTGTACATAGGCAGATCATACGGAAATCTTTAATTACGAGTGACAATTATACATTCTAAGAATAAGTTTCCTTTCTCACGTAATTATGTCGGCAACTTTTGCATATTCTTCACGCAATATTTGTTCTTGATTCCGAATAATATCACTTCAGATAGATATCTTTACCAAGATATCGCAAGTAATCCACAAAGAAGAGGCAATTAAAATAGATGTAATCAAAAGCAAAAGATAATTAATAACTTCACTCACAAAACATGACAACTTACAAATTTATTCAAATTGAACTGTGCAAGCAATTGCTGAACTACATCACATCTAGCTAACGAATATGATCGAGGGGTCGCAGCAACACTCGTCGAGCAGGCAACAGCAACAGAGAGCCGCAAGACTGCAAAATTAAGGAAAGAATATCTTGGTTAAAGAAAGCAATAAAAATTGCATTATAACCTTAATTAACGAAGGAGTAAATGAATAAGAATAAGAACAAGGACTACCATCCTTCGAGAAACCCTGGTTCTCGCCGGGGCGGCGGAGCAGCCGCATACCGCGGAGGAGCCATGACCGGAGGACCTTGGTAGTACCCTTGAACCACACCCAACAAACCAACACCAAAACAGTAATCAGAACAATCAAATCCGCAACTTAAGTCGATGATACACATGTCAATGCAAGCTCATGGACAGATCTCGCACGGAATACCGAAAAGGGTACCTCGTTGATGACCTCAAAGAAGAAACTTTTCAGGAAATAATTCAAGAGCATGCATGAAAAGGTACATAAAAGAGAGAGAGAGAGAGAGAGAGAGAGAGAGAGAGTACCTTGAGCAGGGTAAGGGTAAGCGTACTTGGGGTCGGCCATCTATCTTGAAAGAGAAAGTAGGAGGAGCCAAGGAGGAAGAAGAAGTTTTGTTTGGAGGTCGAGGTTTGCAGAGAACAACGAAGGAAGATGTGAGGATTTGCTTCTTGTTTGAGACAGAAAGAAGGGATAGAGAGAGACAGAGAGAGGGGTCATATATATATACAAGTGCGCACAAACCGAGCCCACAGAATTGCATTGCATGCATCAATTGATTTCCCCCCACATTATTGCGATATTGCCCTCCCTTTTTTCTCTTTTTTTGGTAAGATAACTTACTACCATTATTAATTAGCTCGACAGAGACGTGGACAAGTCGGAAACTGGAGAAAGGGATCGTAAGCCTCAACTATACGAAAAGAATCTTCGGCAGATTAATAAGAATATTGTAATATTAACGTATTGATTACTCCTAACATGATAGAAGAAATTACCTTGCAAACCGTAAAATCTCTTGAAGTAGTTACCCACAAAACCTATTAGCCTTTGCACTTTTGCCAATTCAATTTTAAACCTTTCAACTTTACTAATTGAATCATAAACATTTTACTTCTTTCCAATTAAATCCATCCGGCCAATTTTGGCAAAAAAGTGTTAACGTGACGTGATGTTGACACTTTTAAATAATATTTCAATAATTTCTGAATTTTTTATGGTTTTCTTCTTCTTCTTTTATTCCTTTTCTCGATTTTTTTTGGGGGGATTATAGAGTTAGGGCCGGCAAAGTTTTCTTTTAAACAATGGTCTCGAGCTACTTGTTACCATTAGCTGCCCGGTATATATATATAGGGCTTAGGCATGTGCTACGTGTGCATGTAGCGGGCTGGTTATGCATAGAAAGAAAGTATGTAATTAGTGTGGTTAAAAAGAAAGCGTGTAGTTATTCAAAAAATGGGTATCATATATTACACGGCAAATTCGAAAAGCTAAAAATGAGACAAATGACACTTCTAGCTTAATAATATACATATAGATATAGGGTGTTGTTAATAAATGTTTTTAGAATACTCGTTAATAGAAAATTTCGAATTTCAAAAAAATGATTACGCACTTCAAAAGAATGACTGATGCATTGAAAACTGTAATATTTTCTTAGTAAGTCACTTAAAATATTTTAAAAGCACTCATTAAATATATATATTTAAATTACAGCTCTCTCATACTCGGTCTTTCTCTAGTCTCTCACGCCTTTTACTTTACTCATTGATCCTCGGAGTCAAAATAGAAAGAAACCCTAGTCTTCACCTCCTCTACTCTTCATCTCGCTCTCAGGCCTTCAACTCTCTCTCCTCATCTCGCTCTCCATCCATCGGTCGCCTCGCCTCTCACAATCCCAAACTCGCCTCCGGCCCTCCCTCGCAATCAGCCTCCCCTCCCTCCCGCAATCTCGCTCAAACTCACATGTATCACGCCTCTCTCTCGCAGCTCGCTCTCACAGCTGCAGCCTTGCTTGCCACTCATGACGCTCATCATGACGCTCATCATGACTCTCCTCCACCTTGCTCGCTCACAGTGCTTGTAGTTGTCGCTCTCTCTCTCCTGTAAGTCCTCAGTCCCTCAGCATCCTTAATTGTTATTCAGTGCTTAATCCTTATACTCCTTTCTGTGCTGCCCATTAGGTTAGATTTCGCTATGTATTCTTGCTGGGTCAAAATTTCAGTGCGTCTCATCCAAAAGAAGATAGCCGCTGCAGTGAAACAATGAGATTTGCTAATTCCATTTATGAAGACTTGAGCATTGAATGCACCGTATGTTTCACAAGTCTTATTCCTTTGCTGATCCTCAATCATGCTTAATTTGAGGGCTTTCACCAGGCACGAACCATTCCAAATTCAATCTTGAATTAGCACATACTTGCAAGTTTCCCTAGCAGGATCGGCTCTGTCGACCCACTTGGGAACCAGACCAGACTGAAGGCCCGGTTCTCGGGTGGGTCCATGGAACCATTGGGTGTTCCCAATTCTCATTTGTGAAATCGGTTCTTAGTGGACGGTTTCCAGTTCCAGCTTGGGAACCACCTATCGCCTACCCTGGAACTGATCACCCATAATCTAAATAACTTTAGTGTTTCTCTCAAGGAAAATTATCAAAAACAGTCATAAACATATTTGCAATTATACCAATTTGATCCTAAATCTTTTAATTTGGCCAATTTAGTCATAAACATTTTGACAATTTGCTAATTCAATCCCTCCGACCAATCTTAGTCAAATATTGTTGACATGGCACCTCCGGCGCTGATGTGAGACCATTTTTATAATTTTTTAAAATTTTTATGAACTTTATTTTTTGTTATTTTCTCTCTTTTTCCTTTTTATTTTCTGTTTTTCATTGTGGGAGGTCGAGCAAGGCAGGCCGAGCAAGGCTCGACCTCACCGTTTCTAGGTGAGGTCGGCCTTGCCAGGACTGGGCTAACAAGGTTTGACTTCGTTGTCACTGGGCGAGGTCGACCTCGCCCGCAGCTAGAGCCTCACCATGTCACATGCAAGGCTCGAACCCTTGCAAGAGGTTGCGAGGTCAAGGGCCACAAGGGCCGACTTCGCAGCCTCTGGTGAAGGCCACCCCATTGGATCTAGCGAGGGTTAGACCACGTGGCCTTTGGCGAGGGCTACCTCGCCAAGGCTTGGGCGAGGGAGAGCCTCACCAACCCAATCACAAATGAGGTTGAGCCTCACCGACCACAATGAAAAAACAGAAAATTAAAAGGAAAAATAAAAGAGAAAAATAAATAAATATGAATATAAAATATTATAAAATTATAAAAATTGTCAACATCAGCGCCGGTGACGCCACGTAGGATAGTCAATGTCCACATTAGTGATTTTTGACCAAAATTGACCGGGTGAACTAAATTGGCAAGTTATATAAAGATTTATGACTAAATTGATCAAATTAAAAGGTTTATGACTACACAATTATAATTAGGTTTATAACTTTTTTAGTAATTTTCTCTTTCTCTCATAATGAATGAAAGTCTCGTGGTCTAATTTACAACTTCAAAATTGGGATAACAGCCCTATAAATTATACATTGGGGTTATCACGAAGCTTCTCCTTTCTCATCCACGTAATGAAACCATAATCGATCTTTTGGCCCACGAATGGAGAGATTTCAGACGCACGCCATGGACAGATCTTTTGGGAAGGACAGCTGTTAGATTTCATTATAGAAAAAGGGCGTAAGAAAAGCCTTTAAAAGGGATGACCAAAGTGAAAAAGGTTCAAGGAAAGGGAGGACATGGACAGATGTAATCATAATAATCCAAGGAATATATACCGTTAGTTAAAGTGATAAGCATGTGGAATTAATTAATTGATTAATATCATAAAAGACCCCAAACTGATACACAAATGACAATTTATCCCAAACTAATATTTTAACTATGAAAAACCCCAAACTGATATATCTGTAACAAATTTACCATCTATTAGTTTCCGTTAAATTTTACCATCAAATTGCTAAATTGGATAGCACGTGACAGTTGACGAGTTTGCCAGTTTAGGGTTTTACTCCTCTACTTGTCACAGATTTACCGGTTTGTGATTTTTCGTAGTATTAATTCAATTTAACGGAGGGCAAATTTATCACAAGTGTACCAATTTTGGATTTTTGGTGGTCAAAAAATTAGTTTGGAGTAAATTTGTCACATGTGTACCAGTTTAAAGTTTTTCATGGTATTAATCCACTTAATTCTCCAGTCAATTTGCGGCAAAAAAAGCAAAAACAATATCTGCAAAAATAATAAAGAAAATGTGAATGGAACTTCCAAACGAGATATTCTTCGCCTTTCCGATAGCAAAAGAAATATTCTCCTCTTAGAAAATGCAACTAGTTTTTCCAAATTCTCCAAAAATATTCCCCGAGAGATTTATTCCTTTTTTTTCTAAGAATGAACTAGGAACATATCCTAGAGATTCGGTAAGATTATCTTGAGAGATCGCTATGAAGTGCATATAAAAGTCTAATCAGCCTCACCTTTGGTCGAACCAGGCATTTGTATAGCATTGCATAAAAAGTCCAAATAGGGCCGATTCCCAAGCTGTGGAACCAGGAACCGACCCTATCCACTCGGCAATCAAACCGAACTGGAACCGGCCATGCAGAGTTTTGATTTTTATTTATTGTGTTTCCTCTGTAAAAATACCTGCAAATATATGGCCAGTCATTTATTCTCTCTTCGAGTGAAACTGTGATGGCCACGAAAGGGTCAAAAGGCCGAGCGCTTTCATCAATCTTCGTGGAATTTACTTTCATCCAATTACTAGCAGAAAGAAAAGCAATACTAATACAAAGCCATGACCCTTCAAAAATGAACATGCCATCTGCGATGTTTCTCCACTTTAATATAATTATCTCCAAAAGATTAATGGGCAATTACAGGTTTCCACAATTCGAACACTGACCAAACCTTTTGTTCACCAAGATTAGTTTTGCAGCATTATACTTGGTGTGATACCACATAATCAATGAACTCAATAATCATCAAAAACTTAGCATGGCCGTGGTCCACACTACATATCCCACGTGAAAACAAGTTTGCCATAAGTTCACAAGAGCAAGCAAAATAAATCAACGAAGGATAAATTAACGCAGATCTTATGTTTCCAAGTATAAAAAGAACGAGCAAAATGGCTTGAGAGCTCAAAGCTTTAAATCCAGAGCCAACTAAGCTTCTCCAACTCAGAACTCGACTACAACAAATCGCTCCAAGTTTTGATCACCTGAAAACAAAATAAAAAAACAAATATAGATGATCACTCGACATTAGTTTTAATGAGTGAATGTCTAGAAATAAAACTCAAACAATTAATAGAAAGCATCAACACCTATATTCCTTCCGGTTCAACATGTAAACTCTATCTATCGTCGATAATCTCCACGTTTACACTATTTATGTCTAACAAAAAGAAGAGATTGAATAAAGCATTCGTTCATTAGATATTCAAAAGAATCAAAGATGAAAAGATATATCCATGACTTACCCAACTTAAACTTTTCCGCATTCTCGATGCACTCTTCAACATTAATCGGCATGGAAATGGCTCTTAACCAATCTTCACTGCTTTTGGAGTTAAAGAACTTCAAATGCCATCCGGCACACAACCCGATGTA